AAGTAATATCATAATAAACTTAATATATTTTTACTGAGGCAAGACTACAGTTTTAATACATCTTACACTAGAACTTGTGTTCTGTATAACTGTACTGTCTTCTTGTATATGACCAAGAATACTCTTTTTCTTTTAATTAACCTGCAGAATATTGATTATCATTAAGTACGTTTGTGCACTATAGCTAAACAACTTACTTGCTGCCCATTTAGAGGAGTCGTTGAATGACTCTTCTAAATGGGTAGTAGTCTACAGTAGAACAAATAAATCTTTACTACGTAGAGGTAAAGGTATATGGAAACGATTTCTTTGTTTTATAGTTTAGTTTCTTGAGGATTAAATTAAACATTTCGATCATCGCCTAACAATGGAAATTATAAATAAGCGATAAAAACTCGACAACTTATACGATCGACAGTGAATTACAAATACATGCAATAAAGTACTCGTAAAATCGATTCCAGATGTATTACTTATATGGGTAGCCTCATTTTGTGGCGAACCTTCCACAAATATTGAAAATATTAAGGTAATAATTTTCTATGTTAAAACACCTACTTTCCACGCTTCCCATCGTCCACTTTTATAATGATGCGTAGCTAGGGCCCAGTCTTCTCAGTCCAGTCTTTTATCCGGCCTCGTTATAGGCGTGTTGTTTTTTGTTGTAAAACCGCTGTTTCTCATTGCGGACTCGAACAAAATTGACGTATATATGATTCATATATACGTATATTTCAGTATCAAATAATCGATATATTTCCTAAAACTGAATTTAATCTAAACGTTTTCCATAAAGCCTTCGCGCAAAAGTCTTTGTCTTAACAAATCTGTTGGTCGATCTTAGTTAGCGTCAGTACTCCATTGCATCGTAAACCATTTCCCTTGGCCACTCTTACATTCTTTAATTCCACATTCCTTCACGAACTCTATGGCGATTTAACTCTTGCTTCTCTGCCGGTTGGGTTCCTCTGCAAATGGAATCTTCTCCTTGGCATTACAAGTTTTAATTTTAATACTGCATGATAGTACATTTGCCGTAATTGGATTCGAATCTTGAATTCACGGGTTTTGCATTTTTATTACTTCGGCCTTGTTAATTCCATCTTTGACTCATATATTTGTCAAATCAGATAAATGGCGAAG